TCCAAATTGAAATTATAATGAATAAGATATATGTTATATTATATTTATATTAATTCAGATATTATGGATTGAAATCGGCGTGAAATCGGCATCCATTGAACCTAAAGTTGATCTGAAACCAACTTTAGTTGAATTTATATGAAACCGGCATGAATTCGACGCGCATTCTTTGGCAAAAATATTAGAAGCAAATATTTTCTTTGTAACAAAATCTGGTGAATAGTATATTTGATGGTGATTTTCAAGAGGTTCTATTTTGATTTGTTTCTATGAAATATATATTATTAATCGAAATCGCCAATTTACATCATATTGTCTGGAGAAAAGTTAATCGTGGTGTTAATTTCGTTGCGTTTTCATGTTATTTTCATATTGATTTCATGTAGATTTTGATTAATATTGATTTTATGTGGAATTTATATTGTTTTGGCATTGGTTTCATATTGTTTTCATTTTATATATATTTAAAATGAATTTAATATAAAACCGACGTGAAATCGATATGAATATACATGAATCCGCATCAAACCAATATACTAATATATAAATAAACACTGTAACCGGCGTTAAACATGACTAATGTTGATTTTTTGTGCAAATTTTATATCTGTTTTCATATTATCTTCATTATGGATTCAGAAATATTATATATTATATTGATTTCATGTAGGAATTAAACATATTCCAAAATAAAATTATAGCAAGATCGACCCCAAACAACATCAAGATCGATCCCAAAACATCTTTCTTTTTGGCCCAATATCCAGACATATCATGAGAGACAAGGAAAGACGAAAGGGGACAAAACAAAATCATCTCAACCCATTATCCAGACATGCCTTGGGCGACAAGGGAAGATCAGGAGAGATAATGCAAAATCCTTTCAATCCAATATCCAAATATGCCATGAGAGACAAGGGGAGACGAAGGAAGACAAAGCAAAATCATCCTAATCTAGCATCCAGACATGCCATGGCAGACAAAGACAAACAAAACGAGATAAAATCATGTCAATCCATTATCAAGATATGCCATGGGAGACAAAGAGAATTAAAGAGATATAAAGAGAAATAACACAAAATCATCTCAACCCAACATCCAGACACACCATATGAAATAAAAATAGACGAAGGGAGATAAAACAAAATCATCTCAACCCATTATCCAGATATGCCATGGGAAACAAAGAAAATTAAAGATATATAATAGGTATAAAAACAAATTCATTTCAATCCAACATCCAGACACGCCACGGGAGACAAGGAAAGACAAAGCAAAATGATTTCAACCCAATATCCAAATATGTCTCTCTTTATCTCCCATAGCATGCCTGGATGTTGGGTTGCGATGAATTTGTTTTGTTTCCCTTCGTCTCCCATGGCGTGTTTGGATGCTGGGTTGCGATCATTTTTCTTTGTCTCTCCTTATCTCCCCTAATATGTCTGGATATTCGGTTGAGATGATTTTGTTTTGTATCCCTTCGTCTCTCCTTATTTCCCATGGTATATTCAGATGATAGATTCAGATAATTTTATCTTGTCTAGCCTTATTTTCCCTTGTCTTCCATAATATGTTTAGATATTGTTCTATTAATTGCGAAAATAATATTAATTTATTATAATTGTCGGAATTTATCTATTAGAATTCATGTCCTTAACCGAGAAACAATATATATCGATTCAATTTTTTTTTCCAAATCGTTGCCGTATTTAATCGATCTACAGAATATAGAATTAAATGTCTATTTTGGGTATTTCTCGAATATTCATTCTAAATTTTGCTAGAAATAATCGGTTATATTCTTCCGAAATTTCCTTAAGCTAATATATATTAAATTATTTAAATAATAATTATAATTTAATATTTATATCGAATAATTTATAAAATATTTCAAACATATTAAAAATATAAATAAAATTTTAATCGATATTCTTTTTAATAACTATAAATCAATTATATATATTATTTATTTTATTCGATAATCATAATATTCCTTTCAAAAAAAAATAAACATATTCATAAATAATATCTAATTCAATTCCAAATTCAACAAATTCCTTTCTCTACGAAAAAAAATCAATCGCCTATAATTTATCCCTTCATTTCAAACCATATCGATTATTTCGTCCGATTTATTTTAAACATATAAATACATATAAAAATATTTTAAACATATAATAATATTATCTATTCTATATTTTATAATATATATTTAATATATTATAATCAATAATATGATTCAATAAATTATCAAAACAAATTAATATATTTAATTTGATATTAAATATTATATATATATTATTATGATATATATATAAAATCTAAAGATTTAATTATTCTATAATGATTAGAAAATATTGTTTCCTTAATTTAGGCTAAATTATTTTAATAATATATTATTAATATGTATTTTTTTCTTTTCAATTGGAATTCTTGATTGTATTTCCCGCACCTCAGAAGAATAGAATAAATCATAATATAAATATATATTGTGACCATATTTTCCACATCTTTCTACAAATAACGAAATTGATTTCCAAATCTGATTAAATGTTGAGTCGCTGGCCACATCGGCAACCAAATACAAGGAACCACAAACCACAGCTTGCTTGCCCATTTCGGCCTCTGAGCCGCGAGCCGACGGAGAATCTGTCCGCTCCAAAGTGTTGACCGTAGGGTGGACAAGTGAACGAATGAACATCTCTGGGACATCGTATATTGATTCAATATATTGATCAGATACAATAGCAGGCTTACTGACACATCTCCTTGGGACATTTGGTGGAATTCTCCGAGTGTCAGTCAGCCCGCCATCATCGATTGAAATTTGACTTTTTTGGGGGCACTGTGAAACTATTCTGTCTATGTTGTGAATTATATATATATGTTGTAAATTATATGACGTATTGAGGGGGGTGAACTGGCCTAATGCCACACATGTACAAATCAAAAGCTTAGGTGAAAAATTTAACTCCTCAACCCCTGCCCTGTCTTTTGCTGCGCATAGATATGTGAACATGCTGGAAGTAGAAAGTATCTGACAGGATCTGTTCGCAGCACCACATAGCTCGACTCTACACAGTAATTAGTATTGGCAAAGTTCCGCAAGATGGTGAATCTTAATAAAATATCCGTGCCAAAACGCTACTTGCATCAAGCAGCTGGTGTGCACTCCTGTCCACTTGCTTTTCTTGACTCACTTGAGCTCAAAGACCTGAAACAAGTATAAGAAGTTACATGTTCTTCCACATCTGTCTAGCCACCGCGTACATGCGCATGAACAAAAACTATACGTTTACAAGTTCTTCTTGATAGAAGCCTGCGTCGTACCATGACGATCGACTCCTTCGAACTCCCCGCCTGTAGAGCCTCTCGCCAGGTGGCGGCTGTTTGGGCACCTGGCAGCTTTCCCAAAAACACATCCACAAACCGATAACTAATCCAACTAATCCAACTACCAACAAGACCATCTAGATCCACCTAGAATCACCTTCCAACTAGCGGCGAACCCTACCAACTGCCCCCAACCAGCGGGCACGACCTCCACCAGCTGGCAAGCTCCGGGCGACCTCCACCAGCTCCTCCGGCGCTTGAGGCTTCACCCACGGCATTGCCTCTACGGCAGGGAAGGTCACCGCCAGCAACGAGTCCTGCAGCGAAGCGAGAACCATCGAGAACCTCTGTGTAGAGGAAAGGACGGTGAACACCTGGACACCCCTAACCAAGGGGTCAATCTGATTACCTGGTAACTAGCTGATTGAGGCTTCATCTGTTAGCTTCACCTTCCTGGTTACAGTATGTTCTGTTCATTTCCCTGCTCAAGCCAAAAAAGGTCTGTGTCTCTTGAGGTGACTGCTGACTTTGGGACACCTCAGCGCGAACTGAGTGAGCTCGTTTGTTTCATGCTCGACACTGAATCTAGAGTTCTCAGCTCCAGTTTCACATCCCCATTTTTTGTCTGTATAATATACAATATAATATATATATATGTGGATATATAACTATAATTAACTATATATACACATACACCCCTCCGAAACCCTTTCAAGGTGCAGCACTCCAAGTGAGCTAAGCTCCTCTTCTCGAAGCAACTCTTGAAGAATGCCTTTCGCATCCTGGTGACCACGGTGACCATGTGAGATCTTGGGGGGCGGGCATTGGCATTGGCATGCTCCGAACCACTCACCAGGGTTGCCCAAAGGGCCCCACCCTGAATACAAGCACCCCAAATGACTCTAGAGATCTCTATCTAGAGGTATCAACATCAAAACTCACCCTCTCATTGAAGCAACAAATGCACCACTCGTGACAACACTAGCAATGGATAATATGGTAAACGGTCATCAACTAGATCTGCACGGGGAGATCAATCCTTCTCAGATAAAATGGCGCTCTGCAAAGACACCCAAACGACCCATGATGACCCCATGACCCCATGGATCACGTCTCAGATCTTGACGTTGCACAGAGTCACAAAGCTGAACATCATGCAAATTTGCATCAATTTGTAGAAATCCTACCATGTGCAGCTGTATGATATTGCACTGGAATCCTGCTCTCCTGAAATTTCAACTCCCTCTCTATCTTCAAGCACTGCCTGGTGTCGCATCAACAGCCCAGCAGTCCTTACCGAAGCTCAGGGCAACCACCTGGGCCACGGAACAGTAGGACGTGTGGTCAAACATGCGGAACAGTATCTCTCTTTGAGCTGAGAGAAAAATACATAATTAAATATTTCGCAGATTTTGTTGCCTACGCATGCTGTGCCGATCGTGGCAACTCCTTGTGCCAGATTTCAGCTGCCGCGAGTGTGCTCGTTCGCTGGCCCATCCAATAATGTATAACATGAACTGGTCAAACATGTAGGAACATTGTAAAAACCATTGATAGTGATAGTCATTATAGTCATTGCCTTACATCGAGGTTTGGGCACTAGATCCAAAATATCAAACAGCATATTTCCCTCAGCAGTGCTAAAGCCTTGCAGTGCTGCTCTTTTTCTACCCCATCTGCGGCACTGAAGTCATTGCGCTGGTGAGAAGGAGGTTCTTCCAGCGAACATCCAGGAGACGTCCGTCCTCCAAGATCACCAAATACTTCCAGGCCGCTGAGCCTCAGAAAGATGGAAATCACGTCCAGGCCGTCCAAAGCTCTCACTTTTCTCCACATCAGCTGGACCTTGAGACGTCTCTCTTTAACAGGTGTCCCTGCCACATTCCTGGACAGTCCCAGTCATGCTGCGGAAAACCGCATAGTTTTGATGCACATACAGTAGGCCACACCAGAAGCAAAAGTCTACCCGGTTGTTGCGGGATGTTTTTGGGCCTCTGTCTGCGGGCTCCTCATCCTCCCCATCCGGCCGGCCTGGACCTTGCACAATGCCGGGCCGTCCGTTGAGGCCTTCGTCTGACTGCAAGGCTCGCAAGGTCACGCCGTCGCCAGGCTGGAATGGCCGCCTGGCCGCCAAATGGCCAAAAGAGTCGTTCAAGGAAGGAATTTGAACAACCACAGTTGATGCGCAACAGGCTTAGGCAGCAAATTGTTGACAGGTCTATAGTACAGTATGAAGTCTAGTCTAATTATACATAGAGCACGATGCAATAGGCAGCAAATGCGACCCGAGCTTCTACAAAAAGCTATAGATGCACATGGTTGTCCACTTAAGAGGATGGGAGTGAACAAAACAAAAAGACCCAACTGCCAGAATCGGAAGCCCTGCTTGGGCTGTGGCCCAAGAAGCGTCCAGAAAGCACTTTTGCACGCGAACTATGACTCAGAACAGTGGATGCGTGGATTTCCTGCCCTGCCTCTGCAAATGCTCAGGCCACATGAGGATACGCTCTAGGATGGGGCCACCTGGCAAGAACCCCAACCGGTCAAAGGAAAAGTCTGGCCCACTGCAAGGCGGATGATCCAGGACAAAATGTTCGCCTCCGTGATATCTATGGTGTTTGGCTATGGCTTTGACGGCTAGATCAACTAGAAGGAGACGTCCCACTGCTCCCCCTGAATTCATGGAGGTCTTGTTTCCAGGGCTGGCCTCCAACCTAACAGCGATGTCCTGACTTCATAGCCGTCCAGACGATTTCTAGGAGACTTGGCGAGTCAACGCTAATTCGCCAATGCAAGTCAGTGTGTTTATCCGTGGAGCTGCATGACTCTCCACCACAACTGACGAACACACGCAAGCTCCATTCAATTCTGACGCATCACTCTTGCAACTCGAGCTTAGTGGCTTAGTCAGGATGTCAAAGAAGTGCAGCGCATGTCGCGGCTGTTCTTTTCTACAGCACTTGGCATTGGCTCCCACACCTGGTAATAAGCTCAGCACATCGACCACCAAGCGCCCAGAGTTCTCATCGAAGCCCAATTGCTGCTCCTCAAAACCACCAGTTTCGTGCGTGTGTGTCCAGTCCGAAGGATTTTGTTTAGTCTACTGAGTGGGTGAGTGATATCAACTATCGCACAGCGGAAAAACAAAGGGTGAGGGAGCTCATGTGACACCAAGTGCCAAAGCTTCTTCGCAACCATGGGCTGGCGGTATCTACATGATTCTACATGTATTTATATACGACGGGAGGGTTCAATGAAAACCGTGCAATGCGAGCTTCTGAATCTAATGACTCAAGAACCCAACATGTCAGTTCGCCTTTCGTTCGCAGCCAGGCTATTCACTGGGCTTCTCCATGGTTCGCTCCTCTGCGGTTAGCGTGGACACCACGGCTGCGCGACCTTCAAGGCCCTCGTGCTCGGTGCCGGGCTGAAATTCGGCATCCAAAAGCACCTGAGTTCGGCCACCCCTGGGCTGTCAGAGCTCCTTCTATAGCCCCCGGCGCCACCAGAGAGGGAGCCTCTACCAGGCCTTGGACCTTTTTTTGGGAACAAACAACCTAGGAGGGGTCCGGTCCTGGCCTTTGAATGATCAAAACACTGACACTTTGCCTATATATAGCTTTATACAATGTGTTTCATGCATATTCTTTCAGGGTCCAAACCAACAAGCCACAAGCACCGCAACAAAAACACACACATAATATATATATATATGTATATGCACATATATATATATATATGCATATATATATAGCCTGTTTATGCCCCCTCCACAAGCCAAGCGTCAGCATCCCCGGGCTTGTGCCGCGGGAAGACCAGATTCTTCGGATGTACCGCCACACGGCCCTGCGCATCCTCCAAGTCGACCTCGGAGAGACACCGCGTCGTTCTCCGAGCGTCGACGTTCTCGTGACCGCGATGCGGTGATCACACACGCCAGAGTGGAGGACTTCAAGTTGAGGTGGCGGGGATGGAAGATGAAACAAAAAATGTTAAACATGTCATATTGGCAGCTCCTTGGCTTGTGACAATTGAGTAAAGATTTAGTTTACGTAGTTTATTACTTGTTTGGCACAGCTGCCTAAACGCTAGTCAGTGCACCAACAAAAAGACCACCAATAGGAAGCTTGATCCGGGCCACGATCCTCCGCTCGGCGTTCTCCGCCTGCTCCGCGGGCGTTGGTTCAGCCAACTCACCCACCAGGCCATTCAAGTGCAAGGCCTCCTGCATCGACGCTGAAAACACAGGGAAGCCACCGGGCTTCCAACCGGCTCTCAACAGCTTCGGCGAAATCAAGTTGTTGTTGTGGAAAACTGCAGGCACATGCAAACGCACGCGGAGTGCCCAAAAGCGTGGAGCAAACCTACATGAAGTCATAAGAAGTGAAACATATCTAACATGCCTGTTTGAACAAGCCTATATAAGGCACCAAGTCTTTTAAAGAGTCTTAAAACCAGAAAGAACGCCTTCCTGCTGAATTTAGATGCCCATGTGATCCTGTTTGGCAGTTCAACGGGTGGCATATGCTGATTCAACTAGGAACGCACTCGATTTCTGGGTGGTTGAATCGTGAGCTGCTGTTCAGCGCGGCGCCTTGAGGCCGTTGATCTCCACCAGCGCGCCGGGCGGCAGCGTGGCCATCTGCCGTCGCTCCAGGACCTCGGCGCCGAACTTCCGCAGCTTCTCGAAGAGCGGGGAGCCTGGGAGAGTCCAAAGGGGTGGTTGACCCAGCTTGGGAGTATATGGCCAGTGTTTGGGATGACTGTCTTGCTGGCGCTTTTCAGGCGCTCAAGGTCTTGTTTCCCTATAGAAGGAGGCCCGATCGCGGAAATCTTCATTGCAGCAAGGCAAACACTCAGCAACTATCAGGTTAGTCAGTGAGCTGCAGCCACCAAAGTCGCCACCTTCCAACAAAAGTCACAGTGTCTGGTGTTTGTCAGGCTTGCCAGCTCGAAGATCTACAGTACAGCCAACAAATGCCCTGTCTCCAATATCAGCCAACTCACAGATTCCCAGACTTCCCCAAAAAATGTAAAAGGCTGTGTGATTTGTTGTTGTGACATATGCCAGCTTTACAAGGCAAAGCGGCCCTCCTCTTAGCTCCCACAACTCAAACTAAAACGGTGTCAGCCGACTGTCAGCCAACAAGGGCAAATGTGTGTATTAAGAAAAATGGGACCCCGGTTCAGACCACCTGGAAAAAAGGACAATAGATGACAATAGGGTGAGGGGTTCCCCTATTGAAGTACAAAGCCACACATGAATCGCCCAAATCGAGGTGCGGTTCATCATGGCGGCTAGTCGCTCCGTCTTGTCGCTGGATTGCATCCAGGCCCAAACCTGTTGAGGATCCGAGAGAAACCGCGCCAGTGGATCCACGGCCTCACCCCTCTGTGCAGCTGCCAAAGTTTGGAAGGTCTCATTGGATTCCTTCAGTTGGTCTTCATCTGAGAGCATCTCTTTCAATATCTCCTCCAGTGTCCAGGGGTGCAAAGCATCATTGCAAGGAGTGCTAGAAGCTAAATAGAAATGATGCTTCATGACGCTTCCTAATTCATATGACTGCCCAAAAATGGAAGGGCATGCTGGACTGCTATTTCTCAAATCGTCCCACATTGGATTGGGTTACCTATCGCGGCGACCACAACTTGATCACAACATCTTCTTGTCCACCGTGGTGACCATAGCCCCAGTCATTGGGCCAAGAACATGGGAACACCTACAACCCACCAGCAAAAGGAAGGTGAAACGTCCCGCACTAGTTCCCCTTCCAAGCCCAATCTTCTCCTTCAAACCGAATTCAAACCCATCACCACTGGCTCCACCCCTCCCAATTCGTCCTGCAAGTCTTCAGCCCCCTGTGGCCGCTCCAGAAGCTCTCTGAAATCCTCAGCCTCCAACTCCCGCCGTGCGCCGCGTGCGACCCGCAAGGCGCGCGCCCAGCTTCCCTGGAAGGCTGGAGGGAGGACAGCGAGGAGGACAGCAATGGCCAAGATGCCGGGGCCGACCTGAGATGCGTTGGAGAAATAGGTAGGTCGGCGAGGTTGTGATTGTTTGATGTGCTCTCTTGGGGCGTGCGCCAAAACATGTCTGTTTGGGAAACTTGAAATCACCACTTCCGGTGGACGGTGCATAGAGCCAGCTGCACCCAAAATCGGAAAACATGTGGACCAGGTGGACCTGTTGGGCGACGTATCTCGAGTCGTCGAGTCGCTCGTCTCAAAGGGGAACATCGAGACGTGATCGCCATGAGCCGCGCTGAGCCGACACGCGGCCCGGCGGCGAAAATGGAGGGAAAATGAGTGGTTGTGCAGCTTCCAGCGGTGGTTTCGATGGTGTCCCTACCTTGGTGGATGCCGTCAAAATAAGCCAACTTGGCTGTGGCTCATGGTAGGTTGCTATAAGCGAGTAGTTGTCTCGCCGCATCAGACTGCTATAGCTCAAGTGCTCGTAGGCAGCTATGATTCCCGGACCCTCTTGGGATTAGAAGCCACAGCAAGCTTTCTGATCTACGACTCGATTCCCTTCAAGGCTATCCAGCAGCTAGAAGTCTCTCAGGAAGATCCCTTCTTCTTTCGAGGGCACCGCTTTAAACAAATGTATTTCAACACTGCCATGAGCTTTTCCGTCCCATGATGTGGTGTGTGGCCTTTGAAATCCTTTGAGCCAGTCCCAGCAAGCAAGCGGATTTGGCCTACTGCCTACTCAGCCTACGGAGCGCTGTGGATGGACTGTTCAATTCAACAAGTCTTGCAGCAACTTGAACGTGAAAGCAGAACAAAATATACGCGTCACGCGGCCCACGGAACATCACTGTCGGCCTGTGGTATACCGACCACTTTTGACCATGGAAGCCCTGGTCGACGCACTGGGGCCCCCTGGCCCAAAGTACTGCTTTGGGCCGCACCGTTTGGTCGACGTAGCCTCGGTCATGTGTCTTGATGGTACAAGTCTCGCCCGGTCCGGGTGTCAAAGCAGCACGGACACACACACACACATATACATATATTAATATTATACATATATATATATTATATATATATATACAATCCACCCACCCATCCACCCATACATTAGATTGTACATTACATACTGGGGGGCTGTGGCCCAATACCTCTACAAATAAGTAGGTGTTCAGAATGTGGCTGAACATCCAAGATTCTCTCACTTCTGGAGTCCTATCATGACCCATCCAGCCTTGTCTAATTCAAGATCAGTTGGTCTTTCATTGACTTTGCAAAACACTGATGTTCTGATAAAAGAGTATGTCTGAATATGGCCAGCATTTGGCTTTAAGAAGATTGGAGGCCATCACTTGCCCCCTCCGGTGACAAAGAATACGTGATCTAACCCTTGTTGCTCGAGACCGCAGCGACAAACGTCACATCACGTCCAAAACCCAGCACACGATCTCGAACCCTACATGAAAATTGAATTGAACCAAAGGACCCTTAGAAACTCTCTGCATTTCTTCGCTGGAAATCAATGGACATCTTAAACATCTTAGCTCTAAGACTTCCAACACATCACTGGGCCCATCCTCCAGCCTGGCGGAAAGCTCCCTCGCGCCTTCCTTCGTGCCCAGGCACGGGCCAACTCCGCGGCTGCGTGTGGGTTGTGAGCACCGTCCAGCAACACCGGCCTCCCATCCAGGTGGATCCAATCCAAGCGTCCCGGCCTTGGACGAGGGGTCTTTTGAAGGCACTGAGGAACAAATTGTTTTCATATGGAGAGCATGTTGACCACTCATTGAACCAGTCCTGTTGAACTCCTACTTCCTCAGTTTCCTGGCATCATGTTACACATGCTTGGTGGCTTTCAATACATGCAACAGGTGTATCTTTGCCGGCGAAATCGCAAAGCACTTGGGCGCAGCGAACCCGTCGCAGTGGCCAGACCGGCACACCCCTAGGGGTCGCACCATCTGGTCTTGGCCATGCCTTCCAGGATGATGCCTGAGCTCACACTCTACCGTCATCTGCCAGTCTAAGACAGTTCTTGGGCTGGAACTGTTGTCGAGCTGGTGGTCGTCCAAGATCTTGGCACAACCTGAGCCAAACCGTTCCATCGCTTTCAGCTGGTTCAACAGGTTTCAAGATGTTCGGTTCGGGATCAAACACGGGTTTTCAGAATCAGAACGGCACAAATGTATACAAATTGTGGCTTTGAACCAGGAACGTTAGCGACAAACATGCAGTAGATGTGTCATTTATATACTATCTAGAAAGTGGTGACTGAACTGTGAATTCTCAATTCAGGTGATGTGGCCCGATGACTCACCCCCTCGTGAACCTCAGCAACAGGCTTCTCAATGGCAGCTTCGTGGCCCGAAGCTCCACCAGCATGGCCTTTCTTCGGTCTTCGGCGGGCCGCATCTGTGGGACGACGCTTGGACGATCACCCCATCAGCCAAACACCATGTGAAGCTGATAATAGAATGAATGATTCTGATACTGGAACTCCTGTGCCTCCATCTTGCACCCACTACTTCGCTTCTGCCAGAAAATTTTCACAGCACATCTTGCTTCCATCCCACGATCCCGTGGTAGAAAGGACCTGGATGCATCTGGGCAGCCCGAACAAGTGCCAGCGCAGCATTGGACCTCTGATAATTGCCTCGTGGATTTGGGCCAAGGAAACAGCCCTAGACAGCCAGCTGTACACGGTCAACGAAGGGGGGAACCACAGGAATTCGTCCAAGCGAAGGGTGGATCGTTTGAAAGGCTCACAGCCTCATTAATCTGCATTCTCCTGGATAACCTAGCTTGAGGGATCTCAGGACAGTTGGCTGCTTGGAATATGGCTTCCTGCTCCGATGAGTTCTGAGCTTCGCCACCCAACAGTGGAACTTGAACCGGATCAAAGCCTGGCACCTCAGAGCTCGGAACAAATCACCCAAGGTGCACTCAAAGCTTGTTCCTCATACTCGGTGCGACACGGATCGATCCTTAACAGCAACCAACATGTCGCACCTACCGATCTGCAGCGAGCGTCCGGCCCCTGCAGCTTCAGACCCAACAACATATCCAAGCTTGGAAGCTTCTGGTCAAATCAATCTGCTACTCAAGAAGGTCCCAAAAATGAGTTGGGAGAAAACATGAGAAAACATCCTGTCCAAATGAGACGCTCTTCTGTTGCATGTCTACATCGCCTTGGACACCGAGCTTGCAAGGTCTGATGGCCTCGGCCTTGGACCAAGGGTGAGAGCTCTCCACGGAGAGCACTGAAAAAAGCGAACACACAAGTCTTCCTAGTCAACGGTTCTTGGCAATGGTTTGTTTGGCATGACCGAAGTCTTGATGTTGATGATTGGCAGCGATAAGGACATCTGCAACCGACCTGCCAGCTGTCCAAACTAGCAACATCTACCAGGACCTTCCAACAGGTGGTTTTTGGCCACCTCTTAACCTCTAAGAGGCTATTTATAGACACCCTGGTAGCAACCTTTTCTTTGGCACCGCGAGTGTTTCGAAGTCACAGGCACTGCGCCTCGCCCATGGGGCGGCTCGCCAACGACCTGCCGGATCTCCGACCCGTGCTCAGGATGGAAATTGAGATCTGTATCAAATGGACAAATGGACCTAATATCCATGGACGAACTGGACGAACTCGTTCAACTGTCAGGTCTCCCTGGTCTCCCACGTCTCCCACGTCTCTATCCGAACCAACTAAAAGAATCAAACGGTCGAACGGTCATCGCTTGTGGGAAGACCAGGAACGTGCTTAGCGTTCATCTACAAACCCGATGGGTGCACCGATTGCCTATGTTTCGTTCGGGCATCACGGTAGGTCTGGCTTGCCCCGTTCGCACCGTTTGAGCCTGTCAATTGAACATACTGCACATACTACTATAATATATACTTAAAATGCATGACGATAGATTAGGCCATGTTTCCTTTGTCTTAACGAATGCCAAGTCCGACTTCCACATTTTACTCACCCCATGCAAAGCCTCGGCTGGTGCCACCCAAAAGAGCCTAGGCGGTGTTTTTTTCTCAGGATCATGTAGGCTGGGAAGTAGGTTGGGGAGTGAAAGGCGTCCATGATCCGTCCGGACTTGCTTCGTGATGGATCCCAGAAGCGCTTCGTGATGGATCCGGTGTGCGAAAAGGTACCGAAGAACCAGGTACTGAGACATCGGTCAAGTCTTCTTTGAGACATAATATGATACAAATACATTTTTTGAGACACAAGCAGTGTATGTCCATGTCTCGGGACCAAACAAATGGGCTTATACCCAAACACTCCATGGGACTGCCATATATATCATATATATCATATAAGTATATTTCATTGTAATCGATCCTCATTTGATTTTATTCGATCCTCATGATGTTTCCTTTCTATCTCATCTCCCTTCTTGATCTATCTCATGTTTGTTGTTCGTGCAGATGGTTCATCAAAGTTGTTGCACACCATGTCCCAACCATGTCCCAGTCCCAGACCCAATTGTTTTCCACTCGTTCGCACCTTGGTAGTTGTCAAACTGCAGGCCGAAGACGAGGTGACGTGCTCACAGCAGAACAAAGAACATTAAATTACTAGCATCCAATTAGAACATGATCTGTAGTAACCAATACTTTCATGATCTATTTTTGCACTTGGGCTGGTGAGCCACATCATCCCTCAAATAGGCCTTTCCCCCACTTAGCATTCCACTCAAGAATGCTCCAACCCACAAGGTCAGATCAGACCAATCTCAGAACTTGGTTCGGCTTCATTGAGATCGGCTTGCGAAGATAATATAGTGGCTTTCCTTGGGGACAACAAGCTCCTACCAGTCAACATAATCATTGTATACTGCCAAACACTTCCCTGAATGAGTTCAGCAAAGTATACATGGCCCAGCATCTTGGCGTTATCTCCTGAAGTCACAATTGCATGGAATCCATTGGCATCAATGAAGGATGCTAGAACATGACACAGGTCTTTGTCCTTCTCAGCCTTCAGAAAAGCTACACGCCAATAGCGAGCCAATGTTCGGCTTGCGCTCAACACCTTGGATATTTGTTCGATTGTCCATTATATACCCCTAGCAAAAAATATTGATAGAACATCTGCAGGATAGGATTGATAGGCTTAAGGATAGTCTTAGTAAAGTAAGCTTTTTTCGAACGGGTTGCTTCAGCAGTGAATCCTCCGGCAATGGTGGAGAACTTTGCACTTGAGAAGCCAGGCGTGTAGTGGAAGATTGGGACGACCGACTCCGGTTTCACGACGAAGAAATCTTCATCTAAGATGAAATGTGCAACAACATATCATCGAGAATATCTGATTCAATTTCAAACCACAAGTATTTCAGCTTGTAGCTGGTGCTTGTCATTTTTTGTTCCAAGGTTCCACCCCGATCATGTGCTCCTGGTCTTTCGCACTTGTGCCCATGAAGACCAGTGTCAACAAATCCTTCTTCTTCCATTTCCCTCATGAGGGATCTGATCGTTGTTGGTTCTGCGTCGCTGCATGCCTTGGAACTTTCAGAGGGGATCTCCAACACAACGTTGCAAAGATCACTGGTCCATCGGCAAAAGATGACGAAGGCCAATGGGTCACCTGCAGAACATAAGTGTGACACAAAGCTACCAGCTACAGGTCCAGGTGTAAATGACCTTTATATACCACTCATTCCTGCCAAGGGGTTGTGGTACCTGTCAAACTGCATTGAAACCAAGTGGTAATCTTTTTCACTCGCTCTTCGCCACACCAGTCCCTCCCCGAAGCTTCTGCAATAATCTCTGCAGCAGGCTTCCCCATAGGATTGGCATGACACGATCTACACAACACTATATCCAAGTGTCCAAATCTAAGGACTCTAGGGAATGAATTTTTCCCAAAAGATCCACCAGGGATTGTTCTAAATATGTACCAAAGCGGTGCATCTACTCTTCTGGCTCTTCAGCGTCAGGCCCCTTGCCGGACTTGATCTGATTGCCTTTTGCCGCAGTCCGAGACTTACGGGGCTTCGGCTGACCATCAGTGCTCAAATGGCGACGGGCAAGCTCGCTCTTGCTCATGTTCTTCATGGCGTTCATGCGCGCTGGATGGGATTCCCACCTCAATACATGCTACTATGCATACACCCTGGGACCCTGGGACAACTGAGGAAGAACCCAAGGCCCACAACTGATGCAATTCGGATCATTTTCATTGAATGGGTTGCTTGTGACATCACCAATATGTTACAGATAAGGTGCACAGCTCGGGCTTTGCTCAAAACCTCTTTTGGCTTCATCTTTGGGTTTTCCTTCTTGATCATCTTCTGAGCCTCATGCACAACCTGCCAATAAAGAGACCGTAGGTTAGGAGCTGCCGCTGTCTCACCAGCATCCGGTTTCTCGTCCGTGGACTTGTCATCATCCCTCTTTCGCTTCTTGTCCTTCTTGTCAACCTGCTCCTGTCCAAGTACCAATGTCTCACTCGAATCATCATCACGTTCTTCTTCTTCTTCTTCCTCCTCCGCTTCCTCCTGCTCCCCCAATCCCTCATCGCTATCCAACTCATTGTCCTCCTCTTCCTCCTGACAAGAGACACAAACCTGTTTCACAACCAAGTGATTGCAGCCCCAAAAGTCAGGTTCTTCCTTTGATATGTGGGAAATGTAGTCAAGAGAAGGGGACACGTCTACTGTGTTGAGACATGGGGCCCATAACTTGAGCTTTTGTTCAGCATTGCTCAACCACCCACAAAACGGTTGAACCCTGAGGCCTTTGGAGAGGCCTTTGCTTTGCTCTTCGCAGAGGCCTTAGCCTTTGCTTTGCTCTTCACAGCGGCCTTAGCCTTTGCTTTGGCCTTAGCCTTTGAAGCTGCTTTAGCTTTAGGCTTCTGCGCCTTCGAAGCCAGGGAGTTGAAGGCATCGAAACAGATATTACTGTGGAATCCATATGAATCAACTGAAGATTAGAACATTTCAGAGTCAATTGCTGAGCCCCGCCTTGGTTGTCTTTTTGGGTTCAATAGCTGAGATTCTTTCAAGGGCTTTGCGAAAGCTTGACTTCTCAGTATCCTTCTTTGTCTTCTCGACTTCCTTCCCTTGGTTGTTGTTTGTGCAGCGAGCACTTTGGACAACCTTGTTGGTCTTGAACTTCTTGCCAGCATCATTCAAGGCATCTTCGACCTCCGCTTTGAGATTCACTACCTGTTCTGGGCTCAGCTTTGCCTGAGTGGTCTTACTCCCAGGTGTGGTAGTTTGCATGGGCAGCTTCACGTTGGATTTTGTAGACTCTCCAAGCGGGCTCGCTGTAGCCTTAAGACTGACCAAGAGGGAAAAGGGAGAGTGAAAGGGATGATGGTAAACTGTTGATTCTAAGTCTTTGACAGCCCTGGGTGTAGGAGTTTCCAATGCTCCAGGACTGTTGTCACACATGACGCTCAAATCCTGCAAGATTTGAACACTATATAATATAATATAATATAATATATATTTGTCAGCTGTTGATGTTCGATATTTCAGGATCCAAGAGACCTTGAACATGACAACACCCAAGAAACAGTGTCCTGCTTGAATCCATGCTGGGCCAAAACTTCATTGAGGGACGACATGGATGCTAGGGTTGCCAAGATTGATCTAGGCACAACACCTCTAGGAACCACTCTGAGCGATCCCCAGTGAGATTGCAATCGGCTGAGGCAAACTTCCAGGTTGCAAGCTATATAAATGCAACTGTTTCTGATTCTGCCGAAACATTGCCTTTAGTCTGCACAACGCATAGTACTTCAATAGTACACTCATCCAATTTACAAACTCTGAAGCTTGAGAACACCCCTCCCAAGCCTTGACCTGTAGCTTCCCGTTGCCATTTCTGAACCTTCTCTTGGGAAATCCAGGCTGATTTGCCATGAGCGATGAGGAACTCCTTATCCGAAATCTCCAGCTCTTGGTGGGCCACCTCTGGAGGAACACGCAAATGCAAGCAATTCATTTTAGAGGAAACAAAACAGGTACCAAAGTAAAAATGATGTGTTGATATTTGTTGTGGCAAGATGCAAGAAAAAGTTTGTGTCGTTGTCCATCAATGATCTCCATGACTGATCCATCTCGCTTTTTAGCCTCAACAACCATCAAAGTGGTGCCTGGCGCCCGCCCTGGGACCTTGCATTCCAAAATGTATTCATTCATGAGAGTGTCCAAATCCTCTGGCTCTGAGGCCCAGGATGGTGGAAGCTCCTCTTCCTCTTCAGCAGGCACGATTTG